GGAGTTTGCAAGGGCAACCCATATTCACGTGAAAAGTGGCTGCCCTTGCTCCCCCCCTTGCCATGGCTAAGGGCAAATGGGTGGAGTTGCTCTTAAGTGCATTCAAATGATCAACAAATACTTATGTTATGTTGCTCTACTTGCCATCCACTCATTAAACATCTCAGTAGAAAAATTATCCCTCCATCCACTCATTAAACATCTCAGTAGCCAAATTCGTTTTTCTGGACAAATGGTTGGGCTGGATATTCTTCAAATGCCATCCACTGCAAGCCATTGCAAACAAGCGTGTCAATATAGAATAAACTTCAAGAGCTTTACATAGGGGAAAACAGGAAAGAAAATGATAATAAGGACTTGAAGATCTATACACATTTTGGATTCTTAACTAAATGAGTTTCTGGCAATTCCTCCTATTCGTATTACCATCCCTTAACCAAAAATTACCTGGGCTGCTTCTATCTCTTGATCCTGCTTTTGGATATCAAAGGAGAGGTGTTGCATCATGCACACAAAAAATAAATCTGACTTCTCAAAAAATGACTTGTGGCTTTGTCTGCAAATTATAAGAATAAGGTATGAAAAATATACTTTTTTTTGCGAACAGCTAAAATAACCAAGAATTAAACATCAGAAATGAGCAATATGAGAACCACACAATAAACTTGGGAGAAAAGGAACAAGAATTCAATTTTCTAACATAATGCAGTCAAGAACATTCAGAAGTCTTTAAACCCAACACATTCAAGGAAGCATGGTGCCTAATGTATAAAATGTTTTAGTTTCATTATTGTACAATTGAAGTCCTATATGATTGCAAAATCATTCTATAGAACTGTCATATTTTAGTTCATGAATTTGCAAGTGCCTCAACTCGATTTACAGTCTTGATCCCGAGTGGTTCATCGGTGCACATCCTTCTCTCCATTCCGATTAGAGCAGTCAATGATAAGATTAAAAGCAAAACCAACGTGGCAATCCAATATGACAATACAAAATCAATTACTAATTACAACTGATCAAAAACTATCAAAACTGATCAACTCATCCAAGATTTCTTCTTTTCTTTTTTTTTTCTTTTTTTCTTTTTTTATTTTTTGTTAACCATCAAAGATTCAAGCACACTTGCATTGACAAGCTCTACTAATTAAATACCAAACATCATTGTAAAGAAAGTTGCTATTAAATTGATCATCAAAAGTCTGACATTAATTTGAAAGGTATTACAAATTGATCTGACCCCATTCAAGTTCGCACTTGATTAAAAAAAAAACTGAGATATCAAAACACATAAAGCTGACATATCAAAAGCACACAGACAATTTCATACTTCATGGTAACAAAAATTACAAAAAAACAAAACAAAACAAAACAAAAACCCACACAGTAGTTGGGTACTGACATCCACCAAATTGAGATGGGTCTGTTTCTCCTTACCTTGTCGTTGATCGGTGTTGATGGCGTCGGAGGCAATGACGTCGTTCATCGGAGTGAAGAAATAAAAGAAGAAAAAGAGAAAGAGAAGAGGAGAAGAAGAGCAGACGACGAGAGGGGCTTCGAAACCCATGTCTCACCATGTCCTAAACAAAAATTTGCTTCCTAACCAGTCTGTGATTCACTTTACCAAACAATAGACTGGACCCATGTCTATTTTAATTGGATTCGTCCAATCCAGTCCAGCTCACCAAACGAGGCCTTAGACTATAGCTTGTACTCAAAAAACTCAACTCCTGAATCAAATTCAACACAACCATTTCCTGAAACATCTACAAACCCCAGCGCCCTGTGTCCCCTTTTCTTTTTCCCCGTGAACCTCATTCTCTGGATTGATAGAGCTTGCTAGAACCCCTTTTGTTTTATTTTGATTTTCTTTTGAAACTTTGATCTAGCTGATTTGGAACCAAAAGAGCGAGGAAGGAAGAGGAAGGTGGAAATGGAGAGGCGAGGGCGTGGTCGTCTTCAAACTCGAAACGTTTCTTCTCGAGAATCAACGGTTTCTCGCACGAACAGGTTCGCTTCGAAACCCAGCTCGACTCCCAAGTCGTCGAGCAGAGTTGCAAGTGGCGGTGAAAAAGCACAAAACGACGGCGTAGATGACCCTTCCGACCTTCCCGCCATTGTGGGTACTTGCCCTTTGATGTGCCCAGGTCAGCTTCCATTAACGCTTCCTAATTGTCTTCTTTTGGCTGATAGATAGCTATTGTTATGAAGATGTTGATGCCCTTTTTTGATGCGTGTGGTGTAATATCTATGTAGAAAGAGAGAGAGCTCAGCGAGAGCGGCTTCGAGATTTAGCAGTGTTTGAGAGGCTAAATGGAAATCCAGCTCAATCATCTCCAGACCTTGCCGTTAAAAAGGTAAGACTATTATCTTCTCCTAATTCTGTTTGGTAATTCTTTAATAATTATGGGTATTGGACAATGAAAATTTCCATTTAAAATGAAATAGAAATCAATACTAACTGAAAAATTCAGTCTTTGCGATGTCATCACTAGTTTTCTGTTCAGGTTAGTTCATACCAGTTTTAATATGACATTGGAATGTACCTTAAATGTGTCTGCTGGATGAACTTCCTTCAATTTAAATTGGGTGATTACCAAAAGTGGTGTGTTGTAGTTTGATGTTTTCTGATGCTCCATTTACTTACTTACTTTCTTTTCTTTTCTTTGTTGTTTTTACAAAAAGGAATTAAATAAAGTAAAAAACACAAGGGATAGAGAAATGAGTGTTGTTGCTTCACCACCTGTATAATATAAAAGTTGAAATTAGTCACTTTCTTAGATTTCTAGAACCTCACAAATTAGTATTAATCAAGTTGATTTGATATCAAGGAAATTATTGGAATATAAATCTGAGAACTGCATATTAAATATGTATATTTTAGTTTCAGAGAACAATGTATTTTGGGTGGGGAAGTTATTATTTGGTTAGCTTAGGTCAGGATTTGATTCCCTCCATTTTAACAAAAAAAGAAAAGAAAAAAAAAAGGATAACAATATGTTGAATTATCACTGTAGCTAAACTTGGAATACCATGTGAATTTAAGCACATCCAAATTAGAATTATTATGTGGCCAAGCTCAAAATCATGAAGTAGAATGTCAAGTGAATGCCTACATGATAGCAAACCCATGCAACCAAATGCATATTAGTTATCATCTGAATGCAAGAAGTTGAGAGAAGGGAATTGGATTTTAACAAGAATTACAATGATTGGAAGAATAATAGGAATGTTATTTTTTCATGCATGGTAGATAGAAAGAATTGATTTCACAGGCTAGCGAATTTCTAACTGTTACTTGGAACTTTAATGCTACAACCCTTCACATGTAATGCAAATAGAAGCTAATACATGCTTTCTTCCACTAGTTTTTCAGAACTATATCCACCAAACAAGTTGAAGCATCAGATGTCCGGCCGCTCCCTGTGTTGGAAGACACTTTAAATTATCTTTTAAACTTTTTTGATTCTAGAGAATATCCCTTTGAAGTGGTTCATGACTTCCTCTTTGATCGAACAAGGTCGATAAGGCAAGATCTTAGTATGCAGAATATTGTCAACAATAAAGTAATCCGCATGTATGAGAAAATGGTATGAGTTTCATGCAAAGCCTATATCTCCATATTCTGAAGCTTTTTCTTCATAGTATGCCCTACACAGTTAATTTTTCATTTCATAGACATTTTTTTGTTTGTTGATTGTTTCCATATGTTGTGCAATTAAGTCATTACTTGTTGAGTTTCTCCTCTACAATTCATGTTATCATATCGTAAATAGAAAAGAGTTAGCCACTGTCTTGCGCTGAAAACTGTAGTCTTATTTATCAACACAAAAAGCTTTGTTCTTAATGCTATTACCCTGATAAAGAACAGTATTTCTACATGTCAACCAACATTTCTGCAGCTAGTGAGATTGTGTGTTGACAGCGGCCTGGTGCTTAAGTCAAAACACAAAATTGTTTTGTATTGTTTTGGTGTTTATTTTAGTGGGCTTATGACATAGTGGTGCTAGTATGAAGTGCACATCTCAAGTTTGACCTTACCAAGTTTGACCTTATCCTCATCATTTTTCAAGAAAACATAGATTTAACAAGGAGAATATGGGAACTGCTATTACTGAATTTTGTTTTAGGAATCAACCGCTATTGTATTAATTATGGGAATACGAATATTATAGTAATAATTGGAATACATGTATTGTATAAATCATAGGAATGCTATTCTTGGTTTGAAACACTTGTTTCATTATGTGACACGTATTTGTAGTTTAAGGATTTTTCCTTCATCATTACAGAAAGTAAAAGTTGAAGTGTTCACATGTAAAGGGAACAAATGGGAGAAATCATCGCAGAATGTTGCCAATTAGTAGGCCATAAAAGGTCCTTCTCATTTGATGCTCTTGCCATGCTATATTCAGTGATTAGTAGGTGTGTAATTCATTAAACTAAACCTTCAAATGTGGAAGGAACTTATTTAATTGGTAGTACATAAATTGTTATGGATTTAGATCTCTTAACGTTAGAAATACCAAACGCTTTGTTAATTACAAGTTTTTATGGTGTAGGTCAAATTTCATGTGATATCTCTTCACAAGCTTCGGCGTTGTAGCAGTCAAAACACTTCTTCAATGAATTACCTTAACAAGGAGCAGCTTGCAAAGACTCTGACATCTCTATTTAATCTGTATGATGCAAATCGAGATTCCAATTCTACATATGAAAATGAAGCTGAGTTTTGTTCGTTTTATGTGCTACTTCATCTTGGTTCTAACAGCCAACCAATGGTTAATCTCTATTGCATTTTCATGTTTTTTTCATTTTCTTTATTCTTTGTTGCTGGTTTGCATTGAGTTTTATATATGCGAAATATAATTGTTCTGGTCCCAGGGGGAGTCACTTTCTTGGTGGTTTCGTAATGTTCCTTCCACGTTGATGAAATCTAAGGAAATTTGCTTTTCCCGAAAGATTTTACGGTAATTTCCACTTCCCTTTATTTTATGTGCTTTGCTTAATTATTGGAAATTGTTTTTTTTAACATCTATATGAAATGTTTTTATTAGTATTCTTGTTTCGAAAACTGAAAGATGGTCAGCTTCTGCAACAGATTTTTCCGGATAGGCAACTATAATTGTTTCCTAAGCACTATAGCAGCTGAGGCATCTTATCTTCAATACTGCATTCTTGAACCTTATGTCAATGAGGTAAATAAATTTCTACAGTCTTAACCTATGACTTACAATCCAGGTTCTTGTCATATAGATCTCAATAGAACAGTATATTCATTTTGGCTGGTCTTGCATGGACTGTTTTTAAGTCTTGTTGAATGATAAATTCCCTGGCTCTGTGTTGCTGAGATGATAAGTTCTTATTGACAAATGAAATTGTTGCTGTACTTGTTTTCTCTGTTTGTGTGGGTGAGAATGAGAGAAAGAGAGAGGTATCCTGTTTACTTCTGTTTTTATTGGTTATTATATTCCTTGGAGCTTGGATTTTGTTCATCTTAAGTTCCAAATCTTGTTCAATTCTTTACAGTTTAATCCACATCAATGCTTGTGATGACAAAAATCAAATCTTGTTTTGTGGTTGTTAACTTTAAAAGGTTCGAGCACTAGCTGTGTCATGTATAAATAATGGTGGATACAAGCTTCATCCATACCCGCTGGCAAACTTATCCAAGCTCTTGATGATGACGGTAGATTATCAATAACTCAAATGTGCTAAAATTTGTTATTTTGATATTTACTGTTTGCTGAGATTTTCAAACCTGTTTGTGGTTTTTCAGGAATCAGATTTGGAATCATTTTGCAAAGCTTGTGGTCTTGAGATTTGTACAAATGAAGAAGGATATAATTTGCTACCTACTAAGCAAACCACCTTTTGTCATCCGAAGGATGGGTTTCAAAGCTATATATTTGTGGGTTTGGAACAATTTGAGAGGTAACTTTAAAACTTGGTGGCACAAGTCCTCCAGTGACAAAATCCTACACCATCATAGGCTCCTAGCTAGTGACAGTTTCATGACCAAAGATCTTTAGGGATGAAAACATTAATAGTTCGGTTGCCACTAGGCTTGAAAGATTATAACATGAGAGAATGAAAAAAAAAAAAAGTGTGAAAATTTTAGCAATGAGTTATTTTTCTGACTGTTCTTAAACATAAATTCGAGAACTCTTCAGCAAAGAAATTGCAGATAATTTAATTCATAAAACAATTTTAAACAATTATCAGTTAGTGTTTAAAGTTAACAGTGGATTATCAACTATGGAAATAGATTTTATTAAAATATTCGAATCCAATAATGATAAATAAAAAGAAATCCCAACTAATATTTTGATTAAATTACAATTCGAAATAGACAGTGAGATATTGTTCACAAATTTGTTTGATAAGCCAGATTTTCTATTTTTAGAACTCATGTTCAAGTACATCATTTCAATACACTCAGATTTTGTGTGCAATATGGTTTATTGACTTTCTAGAAGATTTCCTGGGGCTCTTGAGGAAACTTGAGAGAAGGAAAAAAAGAAAAGCAAATGTGTACCCTTACTGAGACCAATGGTTTCTCTCTCTTTCTTTCTCTCTCTCTCTCTCATTTTGAATGCT